TGGATCTCTGTAATGCTACCGTGTTTAACAAGACTCATGGATCATCTGTGATTAAATGTAGGTCACATAAAATAACACCTACAAAACTGTCAGCTTTAGTGAGACTCAAGTATGATAGTGATTAGATGTTGGTCACATAAAATAACCTCAGGATTCTTAAAAAAAAAAAAAAAAGACTAAATTTGCATTTCAAGCACACACACAAATGGATACACATATTCAGATTATAACTGCTGGAGATTAACTAGCAGGATATTGTTATGTTTGCTAACAATTAAGAGGTTGTGAAGTAGGCATGAGGGTGAACAATAATATCTCATCATCAGGGTAGGTAAGCAGGTAAGGATGGTACCGCTGCTCCTCTCATGCAGAAGTGCTGCAGAAGGAAGTTCTGCACTTCATCCACATCATTGGTGACAAAATATATTCCCACACTTCAACAGCACACAATGTCTAAACATCACACTATCTTTATGAGATATTCCTACTTCCTTCATCTATATGAGATTATTCCTACTTCCTTCATCTATATGAGATTTTCCTACTTCTCTTTGCCTGACCTACTTTTTAAACACGAGGCTTTACGAATACTATGACACATTTGTCTGTTGGATTTCTGGACTTCTGCTAAAGTGATCTGTTCATTCCTACTCTTGCGTATGCGTTTATTTCAGAGCAATAATATGCTAGCATTGTAGATTATTCACCTCTACAATGGAAAGCCTACCTCTAAATATTTTAGGATAAGGCCTCATGTGAAAATATTTGTTGAATGTTCCTTGAAAGAGTTGAAATTTTCAGAAGATTGATTTTGAATTACAAGTTGAATAGATTTGCAAGGAGTACTATCAAGTATATTGACAAAACATGGAATTCTGTCATCTGTTGTCAATATTGTCCTTTGACCTTTGAAATCCTGTGGGAAAACTACAAAAATGCACTTCATTACTGAGTTTATTTGAATCAGAACAATACAAATAACCCATCCATTAATTTGGCTTCCAGTTCTAGTTTGAACTTGAATTTCTATGGCCTTTTGTTACTTTCATTTCGGGTACTGAAATCACATTTTAACTCAGTCTCCCACAGCAACCTAGAATGAATGATTAGAGGACAATTGAAGAACTAGCTTATGACATCTATTACCAAGACCACTTAGGTATGTGCTTAAGTTCTAGTGTTACTTAACTTAAACCATTTAGTGTCTTCAATTTAACAGATTGTGTTTGTATTTGATTAAGTGCTGTCCTGAACAAGGCTCATACAGCTAAATTTATAAATTCTGGTAAATACCTATGTAATTTTCTAATTTATTCTAGTTTGAGATTATAGTCTTTTTTACTAATTCTTACCTGGTTTTATGCTAAAAAGTAAACATGATTTTAAATAGGATCCTCAGGCTTATCCCCGTTAACAGGCTTAGAAGAAGAAGCAGGTTTATAAAAGCACAGATGTTCTGCTTTTTTCTTATCTGTCCTTGCTTTCTGTATAGTTCATAGTCAACATTGGAAGGGACAGAGCAAAATATGCAACTCTGCAACACTGCAGCCACTTACAGAAAAGTCTTTGACAATCTTACTTCTGACATATAACTTGTAGATGAAATGGTTAATGTATGTATTACCTTTTAAAGAAAATATGAAACTTTAAATTAATACTAAAACCAAGACTAGATAACAATTAAAAGAGAAACACTATGCTTCAAGGACTACTTCCTGCAAAGACTTGTGCAGGTGCTTCTAAACAATAAATAGACTCATTAAAGTTAATGGAACAACTCACTGTGTGTTAGAGTGTGCAGATTTAAATCAAAATGATTGGAATCACCAGATCTTATCACAAGTTAAATCAGCAAGCAGAAAAGCTTAACTTAAATCTTTGAGTTTAATTTTGTTTTCCATATGTACCTTTTTTTCTAAAAGAAAATTTGAGCCTCTTTGGCTGATTTAATTTTTGCACCTTTCCTTACAACCACAGAGTATTAAAAACAATAAATCCATAAGCAGTGACCAATATAATTGTGTTATGTACTACACCGTTAGTCAAACTATTAATACTTACATTTTATTAATTATGAAAATAGTGAATGCAATAATTCTAAGTAGTTAGAAATATGTATGGGAGGAAAATTGAATCTCAATTTAAACTAGAAAAAAAATAAACTAATTTAGTCAGGGAGCAATCTCATTAACTTCAACCTTCTAAAATTTAAGCACTGTCTTAACAAGTTATTGTGGCTCTTTTTGTAGTCAGTGGAGATCAGATGATTCTTCTCTGTAATGATGAGATTATTTGCCATTGTAATGGCTATTTGTTGTTCCCACTGACTAGAGACAGAAGGCGAAATTTATGCTTACAATTCAACAACTAATGCTAGGTGGGATTATACTCATATATTTAACCTAAACATTTACATTTGCTAGAGACATAATAAAAATATAAAATTTACCAAAATTTCTACTATTAAGTAAATTAGGCAATTTTAAATGCAAAGCAAGTACTATCTATATTTTTAAAATATTCAAATAGGTAGATTTTGGTTAGTATATCTTTAAAATATCATAACAAGTAAGCAGTGTTCTGTCTCATACTGTATTTAGGCTAGAAATGAAAAATAAGAACAACTATCAGCCCATTCTAATTTCTAACTGAGCAGAACTCACTAAATAAACTGAAACAAACAAACAAAAAACATTTCTGTGCAGATTAGGGTATTTGTGTCAGAAGTTGATTTTGTATTTCAGCAAAGTTAAGTTTCAGGCCAATGATTTCCAGTGATTCACTCATTTGCCTTTCTAAAAAGCTTTTGCCTCAAATATGTATATATATATATATATGCATATATATATTTATGTGCTGGGAATTGGCTCTAGGCAAAACAAATGTGCAGAAAGTATTTATACATAGGAACATATAAACATTATAATTTTATGTGTTTTTTTGTTTGTTTGTTTCATTATAAAAATGTAAGCGAGAGTTAAAATAAGCGTTTTGCAACCTATGTTATACAATGCTTCATCTAGAGAATACATATTTATTTAACTTTTTTAATGTATTTCTTGGGGATAAAAAATATTAGAGACAAACAAAAAACAACAATAAACAATTAGTAGATCTCTTGTAGAACATTCAAAGAAAGCAAAAACTTAATGCACATCTTTTGCTTCTATTTCAGAGCTTTAAAACAAACAATTAGAGCAGTGTTTGTTAGTAAATGCTTATTACATTTCTTATGCCTGATGAAAATACTATAGAAAAACAAACCAACCAAACAACAACTACAATAACAAAAGATTGAGAATTCTGCCTGCTGGAGCTTCCATTAAGTAGAAAATCACATCTATCCTGCCCCTGAGGTGTTCTGCTAACAATGTGCTGCTATAGACTGTGCTGTTTGCTAAGTGCTGTTTGGATGCTTGTTCTTTTCACAGCAAATTTACTGCCAAAATGAAAACCAGACTTATTAAAAACCTCCCCCTCCCCCTGAGATCTCTCTTTCTATAACTGAGTCATGCAAACACAGATATTTAAAAGCTCACAATCTCAGAGGACACTCTTTAGTAAGCACAATTAATAAAATGAAGCTTTATGGCTGAAACATGCAAGATTCTTAGAGACCCTCCACACATAAATAAAATTAAAAAACTGCATGAACTTATCCCTCTTTATGAAAAAGATGAGAAGAAACATCCTACTTGAACAGAGAGTGCTGTAATAACGTATTTAGGATAAAGCAAAATTGATGCACAATACCTGAAATAGAGAATATTTCAATTGAGAAGATACTGCAGGAAGTCATTTATTGTCAGCTCTATCTAAGCAAAACATGAAGAAGGATTCCTATCATAAAATTAATATATGACAACACCAGTTACAAAATAATTTTGAGATTTTGCAGTAGTCCATTTTGATATATTATGCTGTTGTAGACATTAGAAACACTAGAAAAAACACTAGACATTAGACACTAGAAAATGAACATATAACAATGAGCATAACAACCTTGAATTATCCTTGATGGCTTTCTCTGAACCTTTTTGTATTGTACTCTACTTTTTTTTTTTTTGGGGGGAACAGGAGACCAGCATGGCACAGAGTATTCAATGCAGAAGTGCCTTGTGTAATTTTACAATTGCACACTGCTGCTCTCTGTTTAGTTTTCTGTTACTTTCCTAGTAAGCCTTAAATTTCTATTTGTTTTTGGACTACTTCTATACATCTATCTGAAGCTTTCATAGAAATATCCATCCTGACCCACAGATCTCATTATTCAGCATTGTTGGTCAGTAGCTCAAGGTCCAAGGTCCATCTTTCTACTTGTGAAGTTACTTATGATTATTATTTATTTATTTATTTATTTTAACTCCATAAGAGTCCTTTTCCTTTCCTTTTCCCTTTCCCTTAATTTAATCTACATGCCATTGTAGATTAAAAGGCCAGGTGCCTTTTATAAAAAAACAGCTCCACTTTTTTTTCCCTCTAGTCCTCAAAGCCTTAGGCAAGAGGGTAAGTAGTTTTCTGATACTCACCCACGAGTTCCAAGTGAAGTTTTTGCTGAATACTATCTCATCCTTGAATTTGCTACTTTTTGTTAATTTGTCTCAGAACATTTTCTAAAGTCTTTTTATTTTCATCTGATTCTCCACCACATTCTCCCCCCCCCAAAAAAAAAATAAATAATGAGATTTCTTCATTCTTCTCCGATCACAAAATTAATCTCTACTGTTTCTTTAGTTATGGTGAACATCAACACAAAGACTTCATTTGGCTTTGCTGTTATGGTCTTATCTTCTCTTTTTGTATTGCAATTCTACTGGCTGTATAGGCATTCTTGCAGACTTATTGTTCTTAGTGTGCTAGAAGACAGCTTTACTATAGTTTTGATTTCCTTTACTATTGGCTCCCTAAAACAATGTTTATCAGAAAGCAATTCTCCAATGTTTTCTAAAGGTCTTATGAAAAAAAATAAATAATTTGTAAATGATTCACTACAGCATAGATAGGAGTCATCTGACCTGAACTGAAACATGTCAGGGTTAAAATTCTACATATGAGTCTGTTACCTAGTCTTCTGCTAAAATCATTGTGTGCAGTAGAGGAAACTGTCCACATAGTTTATCCCAGCTGCATTAGAACAGGTAAGTTGCTTCTAGAGATACCTTACTCCCTCTATTCCTTATACATTCTAAATATATATTTTAAATGATCTGCATATGTATAGTCTAACATCTAGAATATAAGAAATATTAATAAACTCAGAGGAATGTTTAGTTGCTCCCATACAACATGATCTCATCAGTAGTTGAAGGTTACTATTGTATAACTGGTCAGTAAACTAAAAATATTAGAGCAGTACCTATCTGAAAAGAAAGGAAGCTCATATTCATCAAAGTCTTATAATTACTGGACATATTTACAAGGGTAGAAATCCTGGACCAATACTCTTAAAGTATGAGAAACCTGTTTTCCAAGGTTTTCCTGTTCAAATTCCCCTTCATTACAGTAGTTTATGACTTAAGTTTCTTTACAGCAGCACTCTTGAGTTTACGTACCTACAGGAACACTGTGAAGTCCAGCTATGAAAGATCTTCAGTCAAGAGACATTTAAACACCAGAATCTTTTTAACGCTAAGGTAACATAAGCATATCACTACATGTGATATTCAACTGCACTTGAGAGTAATTACTAAAGTTACTCAGTCAATTTTAAATACACTACTTCATTTCAAGAAGGTTTGTCTGTCTAATGTTCATGCAACAGTGTATAAAAAATAACACTTGAATTAACAGAACACCACTATACTGATTACAGTTATAGTGGCTTTCAACTGTGAAATAATTTAAATGTGAGAATTGAAGAATCAACAAGTAACTTCATAAATGGAGATTGGTAGACATGGATATGGTGGCTACTGTGTTTCTTCTGAGTATCTGCACATGGCAATTTCAGGAGAGTTTTCAAATGAAGATAAAATAAAACCATTTGTGCATAATGAAAACTGGATTGTGTCACTCGCAAAGCATCTCATGTAGGAGGCAGTACTGATGCAGTGATTCCTAGGAAATCACCAGATGAAGAGGGACTTCTCCATTCCCTGATCTCCCTTAAGCAATCTCAGCAAACTCTGAATTGTCTTTCTGCATGGTGAAGACTGCTCTGAGAAAATGCAACTCTCCCTCTGTAAGCTTGTCTTCCCTGAGAGAACTCAAAGGTAACTTCATGGCTAAAAACTCCTACTTTCCTACTCTCCTGATGTCTTAAAGAAATAAATACTTGTTAATAATGTTTCCTCTTTCACTTCCAGGCAGGAACTGATGAACTGATGTAGTGGGATGGGGAGTTGTTTCCCTGGCATAAAAAAAAAAAAAAAAAAAAAAAGTGACTCAAGGATCCCTAAGATTACCTTAGCTTTAACCTTTTCCCCTTACAAATCTAAAACCCTCTCTGCCCTCTCTGCTGATATTATGGAGCCGTGCCTATTTTTTTTTTCCCATTTTTTTTTCAAAACAATTTATTCTTTAGAGGTAGTAAATAGCAAGCTGCAAAGCAAGGACTGCAAAAGCAAGGACTGCCACCTTTGACAATTCACCTAAATTATAGGAGGTGAACAATTAGTGTTTAGGTATGTGCAAAAGTTTGGATGTGGTTTCAGGCACTGAAGATAGCACCTCCAATAAGAAAGACAACTGGAAATTGCAGGCTCTGTTCAACAAATCCAAGGCATGACTGGTTGCCACTAGCTGGTAACACATACCATCCTAATGTAAATATCTAAACTCTCTCTCCCCATTAGCTCAGGACAGAACCTACCTCACTGAGACAAACTTAAGTTGTGGTCAAATAAGCACAGCAAACATTTTGCATTTTACAGTGATTATTTCAAGAAACCTAGCCTCCATCAACAGAAGCAATATAGATTCAAAAAAAAAAAAAAAAGTAATTTAAAAATCCATGGATGTTTGAAATGTTGAAAGTTATAAGAATGTCCTAAATGTAACTTTAAAACAAACAAACAACAAACAAACAAACAATTACAAAAAAAAAAAAAAAAACAATTAACAGATGGAGAACTAGATCTATAAAAGGAATTACAAACATGAAAATACTAGGGCATGCAAAATGTAACAACAAAAAAAAATCTTCACAGAGGAAAACAATGCCTCTTTCAAGTTTTCTAATCAGGTCTAATTATCAAGAATAATTAATCCTATTTCAGAGGCAGACATCTAAGACCAGCCTTGGTGATGGGAATTGGAAATGCCATTAGCTAGCATCTAGAGTAAGCGCAATATTGAACCAAACACCCTAACTCCAGAGGACTGGCATGATAGCCTGCTTACTCTGGAGTTCTGCAGTTTATGACTTCACTATGACTCTGAGCAAAGGATCTAGAAAGATAACCAAAGTGACATTTGTTCTCCTTTCAGGAAGAAAAAAAAAAAGAAAAAGAGCCTTGACAACAATTCTGAGACCTTCACAATGTCTCCTTGCACCTCTCCACTGCATGCTTTTTTTATGAACAGCAAGACAGATAAGTCATCATGTTACATTTTATCTATTTTCTTTACAGTGAAATTGTGTGTTCCCCTAGCAGTAAGAGAACTAAATACAAGCATGCATTTTATTAAAATACTCCTTTTAAAATAATACAAATAAAGGGAAATAGTTTCTAAACCTTTATTAATGCGGATTTCTGGGCATCAAAGTAAAAAACAAACAAACAAACATGTTGGGTAACTAAATATGAGGCCTGATCATCAAAGATTATGAATGTTGTCAGGTCTGTTACTACTGTTACTATTTGCAGTCACCCTGACCCAATACTTTGTACATCTAAATGTCTGATCTTCATGACATATACAGGATCCAAGCATCAAAGCCCTGAGTATCCACTTCCCTGTCTTATAGCCACTCACTCTACTCTTCAGTTTGAAATACAGGTGCAACAATAAGACCGCTGTGCTTGATAATCAATCAATAAATAAATAGTGTAAGACAAGAGAAACTTTTTAAGCTGTTAATCGATACAGTTTAAAACATACTTCCAAGTACTGCCAAGGTTAACATCTGAATGGACTGTCTACCACATACATCTCAGCATGGTTACAATTTATTATAATACAAAAGAGATATTTACATGCATGCACCACCCTCATTCCTTTCCTGCCAGGCTTAGGTGTTTTTTATTTGTTTATTTCTTTTGTTCTTTGTTTTCTTGTTATGTTTTTCAGTTGATTTTTTTTTTTCCAAATTCAAACTATTAGGTAACAGTTTGGGGGAATATTACTTTGATATATATCAAAGTATTTTAAAAAGAGGAAAAAAAATATCTTTATTAAGAAGATCATAAATAGAGTCATATTTTTAAGGTTCAAATTTTATTAAACTTGAATTTAAAACCAGAATCACCATTTTGATGCTTTGGGACAAGGTCCCATTTCATTTACACTTACATATCATTTTTAAAGTATTTCATTGAAGATTCTATGTTATCATCTCTTTCCTAGGTCTACCCTTAAATTGTATTTCTGTTATTGATTTGAATACTTTCATACCAATGTATAAATTGCATTAAGAGATTAAAATCTATTTAGTGTCTAAAAATGTCTGTGGGCCAGTTATATTTTGGTTGTAAAAACAAGTAAGTGAATGAACTAACAAATGAATACATAAATAAGTAAAATTAAAACAGCTAGAAAAACATTAGCATCTGACTTTTCCTAAATACGGGTTAAAGGTGTACGTGAGCAGACCTGGGTAAAATGTCTACCCAGAAAATAAATTCTGAGTATACAAAGTTTTGTCTACAGTTGTGAAACATGACAGCCATCCTGGTACCAAAGACAGAGTAAGTACAGAGATGTGTTTGGGACCTATGTGTGCTTGGAGCAGAAAATATTTGTTGCACTTGCACTGTTGTTGGCATGGGAAATACTAAAGTCATGCATGTCCATGCACAGCGTAGTCATCTTCATCTTCTACGTGAACATATCCACAGCCTAATATAGGTGTTAGGTGATGTATAATATCAGGTGATTTAATTTTACCCAAATGTAGAAGATTTTATATTTAAAATCTAAGTAGAAGATATTTAACTTAATGTGTGTTAGAAAAATGTTACAGAATTGACTGTGCAAAACAATGAAAAATACTCGGAGGAAATATTATAGATGTTTGAGATTATTAATCATTGCATACTTTACTTCCTCAGGGAACAGAGTACATATTAACAAAATTCTTTTGTTATTAAATCAGAAGGCAATTTGTACAGATTTGTACAGGCATTTGTACAGATTTTTAACAGAACATGCACATCATGAGAGATTCTGTGTTGATGATGTGATGTGTTAAGAACAATGGCCAGCAGGTCAGGCACGTATCCTCTTCTGAGAAAGCGCAAAGCATAATCTGTCAAACTATTTAACAAGGCTGCAGTTTTATGAAGAATACATTTTTATTTACAAGGCAAAGTAAGTGCCAGAGCAGACTGCAATATATTGCAAGCAACAAACACACCAAATAAAAGACTTAAAAATACAGCTATCACAGAATAACAGCATGTTTGAGGTTGGAAGGGACCTCCAGAGATCATCTAGTCCAACTCCTCTGCTCAAACAGGGTCACCTAGAGCACCTTATACAGGATCACATCCAGGCAGGTTTTGAGTATCTCCAAAGAAGGAGACTCGACAACCATGCTTTCCAATACTCCACTGAAACCAAAAATTATATCAAAACATATTTATTAAAAATAAGGGAATAAAAAGAAAGAGAATATATCAGAAGTGAATATTTTTTTCTTTCTGATAACAACATACAGCTTCTATTCAGACTTCATAATCTGAAGCATGGAGATTTTATCAGGAAAGTAGATAATGTTCATATGATGTATTCACAGAATGAGGACACCACAGACATCCAAGCTAGCAATATGAAAAGAAATATATATCTATATATTTACTAAGATTGGACAGTGTCAGGAAAGTTGTTCTGAGGAGACTATTAAATTCTATAATTCTGGCATTGGCCCTTTTGCAACAGGCTTCATATCAGACTGAGCAATTTGGAGAGCTTAAATCAGTTCACAGCCCTTTTAACAAGCATCTACATGCAAGATAATGTGTTTTTAACCATCTTATGATGGTGAACAGAAGTGACATGGAGATGACTAAGATTCAAACAATGATGTCTATCACTAGATATTCCATTGACTCTAGCATTAGATGTTATACAAACATTATCTATATGCCAAGACTACCTCCTCGTGAAGTTTATGGAAATTGTGAACATATATTTGTTATATTGTAGTGATGAAGATTGACCCTGTTTCTAATAGAGCTGCAAAAATAAAAAAAAAAGCAATTCCTAATTTAATTTGCACTTCATTTCCCATTATAAGATTCTTTCTCCTTAATACCCTATTGCTCTGTCACACTCACCTTTATCTTCATCATGAGCTTTGTCATTGAGACAGATTGCTATTTTATATCAGAACGGTTTCATATACCCTTGCCTTTCTCACTGGAATCTTTAGGAGAGTCTTTAGGACCAGCTATTCCATAGTTAGCATGAATCTCTACTTTGGATTCAGTGGGGCTACATACGATGGATTTGAACAGAACAAAATAGAACAGAACAGAACAGTTCAGTTGGAAGGGACCTACAAAGATCCTCAAGTCCAACTGCCTGACCACTTCAGGACTAGCCAAAAGTTAAAGCATGTTATTGAAGACGTTATCTAAATGCCTTCTGAAAATTGATAGGCACTGGGAATCTCTAGGAAGCCTGTTCCAGTGTTTGACCACCCTCATGGTACAGAATTTCTTCCTCATACCCACTCTAACTCTTTCCGGTGCAGCTTTGTGCTGTTCCCACAAGTCCCTATCATCGCTGACCAGCACCTCCCTCTAAGCTTTCCCTCCTCAGGAAGTTGCAGAGAGCAATGAGGCTGACTTTTTTTTCAGACTGGACAACCCAAGACTCACCACATATGTCATCATAGGATATGTCTTCCAGCCCTTTTACCAGCTTTGCTGCACTCCTCTGGATGCATACAAGTCATTTTAACATCCTTTTTATATTGTGGAGACCAGAACTGCACATAGTATTCAAGGTAAGGCCACACCAACTCTAAATATAGGAGGAGAATCACCTATTTTGACCTGCTGGCTATGCTGTGTTTAATGCATCCTAAAATACAGTTTGTCCTCTCAGGTGCCAGGGCACACTGTTGGCTTGCACTGAGCTGCTGATAACCAGAAACCTCAAATTCCTTTGCTGCTGATCTGCTATCCAGACACTTGTCTTCCAAGTGAAACTTGATCTTGGTAAAAAGGAAAGCAATGGATAGGTTTCACAGTCGACCATTCTAGGAAAGCCACAACATAAGAGCTCTACAAAAGCAAAGATATTTCAAATCAGGTAAAATTTTGGAAATTTCATATTTTATTGCATGTTGTGAAGGGAAAACAGAGGTTTCTCTGTATATCTAACAATTCTATAAGATACCCTATAAACAGAGTACAGAAAAAGAAGACATTGTACTTACATTAATTTCCTCAAACCTGTGTTTTGCTGTCTCTCCCTAGACTATTTTGCCAACTGTCCTTGCTGTCTTCATAGCTTTTTAATATGTTGCCATAAACTTTCCCATTATTCACTTGAATTTTATTTGCTTGAATTTTATCTGTTTACAACTGCACTTATATTTTTCTTTCCTACAGAGGATTAAGCATAGCAGAGTACTTTCTAAATCACATATCTTGCCTTGGAAGTAAAGAGTGTTCAGAGCTAAATGAATGTTCGTGAAATATTCAGTGAATCAATACAGTGTAATTTCAGTGTCCAAAAATACTTCTCCAGATAGTTATTTCCCAGTAGTAATATTTATTAACAATTTGTTCTTTAATATTTGTTCTTCAATGGAATTTAATAACAAAACTCTTGGATACCTTTACAGTGCTAAAATGACCTAAAAATTTGTTCTAAAAATATGTAATTAAAGCAGTATTTTCATTCCCTCATTAAAAAAAATAAAAAAATAAAAAATAAAATAAAATAAAATAAAATAAATAAAATAAATAATAAAATAAAATAAAATAAAATAAAATAAATAAATAAAATAAAATAAAATAAAATAAAATAAAATAAAATAAAACAAAATATATATTTTTTATACTGATTGAATATAAAATGAATAGATAGGAGTAATATTTTTCCTTTAAATTAAGAAGCAAAACCAAAGACAAGTTAAACTATATTTCTTCTACATTCCCTCAAATTAAATTGCTTGGGAATAATCATGACTGAATTTCATGCCATCACAACAATTTCATGCAACAATTAACCTCATCCTTGAATCAAAGGCTTTTGAGGGAGGAATCCCAACATCAGGTGGGAAAACAGGAGGGCATTAAAAAACAGCCATCTCAACAGCTTAATAGCCTCACATGGAGAACCTTTCCCATGTGAGGAGAATTTTCTGAAGTTTAAAACAGGTAAAACAAATAGATAAATAAACAATCACAAAACCACCATCAACAAAAGCAGCAAAGCTAAGCAAAACAAAACAAAACAGATTTGATAAGCCTCACAGTAAGTCACAGCTTAGTACCACAGACCAGTGAAATCAAGCCACAGGCAATCTGCAGACTCGGAACTACATTTAGCTCCAAGGTTGCAGGTCCTCTACCCTTGATCAAGACTGACCAGGAGAAGTACACAAACGCCTGTGCTGATCATGATCACCTTTTTACAGGCTGTCTGGATTCTGATGCATATTTCCAAGTTGGAAAAAATAAAGAGAAAATGTTGTAACACCAGTGTTCCTGACAGTTTAAGAAAACACTTGGAAGCATACATTGTGATTCCACTTTCAAATAGCATAAAACAAAGCAATACAGAACAAAGCAACACAAAACAAAACAAAACTTCTACGATTAGCTCTTCAGGGTAAATGCTACATCTCACATTTCCACATTGTAAGAAGAAACAAGATCCTTATCTCATTTGAATCCCCCAAACATATTAATCCATATAAATTAAAAGAAAAACATAAGGTCTCCTGAGATTAAGAGTTAGAAGAATAAGAATGTCAATTTACACATTTTAAGAATCTTCTGTTTCAAATATATATTTCTTTTATAGCATGCACTTTTTTTTTTTTCTAATTTAATTCTTTTTCCATTTTTTATTTCTCTCTGGTATCATTCCTTATCTGTTCTTGCAGTTGCTTTTAGAAATTGAACCTAGAGAACACTCTTGCTAAAAGATTATAGCTCTGTTTGCAGATTAAATAGTCCGTGAGGAGATTTAGTACATGAAGGGAAGCAAATTCTGCTTGGTGCTAAGCACCATCAGTCACACCCTGAGCATCAACAATCACAGCTAGCTTGAGTGGCAGCATTTTTCTGGATTCAGCTATCTCAAAGAAGAGAGAAACAAAAGTAATAATAACAATAAAGACAAGGCTTAAAGATGAGTGAATGAAAGTGTTGCAATCTAGATGTAATATAATTGTCAGGATTTATTTTTTTTGTACATCCAAGAGACTGAATTAGTATCTTCCTTTTAAATCAAGCAATACTTGCACTAAAACATCACTGTTGTTATACAGATGACTTACTCTGCCATTCTCTATAGCAGCACAAAAATCTGAAGAGAGCTTGAGAGCTCCTGAAACTTAACATAAATATATGTCATAATACAGTGACAGGCAATCATTAAGGAAAATTTTTCATAAGTCATTCATATGCTGCAAAACTCTTCTCAGAGCCAAAGAAATTAATCACACTACATTTTTAAAAACAAATGCTGAATTTTTGAAAAAAAAAAAAACAACAAAACAAAACAAACAAAAAGCAAAGTATGTTGTCTGTGATTCAGCCTCTTAAAATGTTCCTAAGTCTCTGAGAATGATAAGCAGCCTGAAGCACTAATTTGGTGCTTTCTATGGGATAGCCTCCTTAGAATTACCTAAACCACAAAGCTGATGAGAATGGTTTTCTAGTTGCATCAAGCTTTGGAAAATTATTCATACTATAATACATGCACTGTATTTGGTTAAAGCTAAACCAGCCCCCAAGAAATCATCTTTTCTCCACCTTCTTAACACTGTGTATTTCTGCATGTCTAAACCTAAGACATAGAGATGCCAAGACGTTACAATGATGTCAGAGCAGAAAACATTAGTAAGATTCAGTCACTAATACAAGTACTTTATAGTCTCTTCCCAGTGTTTTTATCTTCATGATATCCACCTATTGTACTGACCATAGAGGAGAGCAAAACAAACTAGAGATCCATTTCCCTTCACTTCAGTATCTTAAAGTTACTAGTTTTAGGAGCTTTCACTCCAACAATGCTCAAAGACAAGGCAGTGGCATGTCCAAAGGCTCACTCATCCCAGTGCTTCATGCACCTACCTCAGACCGGGCTGCATCAAACCTGGAGGTACTAACTTCACACCACTCATTACAAAGGGGTACATGATAATTAACGGATCAGATTCAGGCTGATCAGGCTGATCAGATTCAGGCTAATCCAGCTCCATCGGCAAGATACAGTTACATGAGATGATTTCCAAAAGGAAATTCAGACACACACAGCAATAAATATATGTACCTAAACTCTATCGGTGCTGATTTTGACCACAGTAGTCTGGTAAACATCATACAGGAAAAAAGCAACAGAGCAAACCTGACAATTATGACAAATCCTTGGTTAGCATTTACCCAGTGGATCATCCTGCTTCTTGGACTTGCATGCATTTTTAAATAAAGCATTTATTTAAAATAAGGCATGAGGATGCCTTCTTATTTCACAGGACTGCAAGGCATTTGCTCAGTAGGAGTGTGGTTTACTTGGCTATTGAAGTGCTACTGATGGGTTTCATATTAGAGAAATAACTGGCTCTGCTCAGGAAATATATCCTCACCTTTTTTTTTTTTTTCTTAGTATTTTTGAAACCACTCAATCTATAATTTAAACCTAGTATCTAAAACTGAAATCAGGTTCTGTTTCGTTCATGTTGTAAAAATTGGACATATATTTATAGCCAACATACAATAAATACAGGATTAGAATGTACTTCAGAGGTATGCAAAGGCATGTTCAGAAAACAAGGGTCAGTTAAGAATGCAAACATTCTTAACCTGTATGTCACATAAATTAAGTTTCTCTAAACTCATTTAGAACAGGATCTTGTTTTACTTATGTTGAACTTGTACAAAAAGGTACATTGCCAGAGATCCATCATAGCACTGAGACCAGCCAGTTGTACATGCTGGTATGCAGTAGAGATGAAGTTAAATAGCAGCCCTTCCTCTCCCTCTTTTTATTCAGCACAATAGTTCAGAGACTGCTCATCTTCATGAACTACACAGACTTAAACTAGGTTTCAAAATCACTGGTGTACTGATGTGCTTGGATTGTTGAAACCAGCAGCCATGGATTCAACAATATAGAAAAAAAAAAAAAAAAAAAGCAGGAGAGGTGACTACGAACACCTGTGATTGCCTTACATTTACCTTTCAGGAGACAAACGTATACATATGTTCAAACCACTCATGCACTTGAGCCTATATCATCAAGGTACTACAGTTTTTAATGAATACATTCTGAATGTTGCAGTAAAACTGGCAATTTGAGATCCATTAACTGAGTGAGCATCACTTCGAATATAACTTGTACTTAAAATGCTGTTATAGATGTCATATGTGCAAATGAATGCAGTCTATCTGTCAGCAGGTTTTTTTTTACTATGATTCAGGGTGAAATGCTCACACAATACAAATGGGAGAAATGCAAGTTCTGTTTTTCACACTGTTGTGCCTTCCAAGTAGAACTAGGCACCTCATTGCTCCTACTGGACACAGGCTGCAGGAAGGCAGGATGCCCTTCCTCAAATTTAGAGGAAAATAAGAAAAGGGGAGAGGACACGTAAAAGGAAGGGAGAAAGTTAGCGATTACTCTAAAGAAGTAATTTAATTGTGCACAGCGTGACTGACTCTGCACAACAAATAAAGCAAAGACAATTAAATCCATTAAATGGAGATTGCCAGTTTCTAAAGACACACTGCAGGCTATTGATTTAACTGAAAAGCACATTCCATCCATGTTGGAATATTGGAGGGATGCACTAAGCTTTTCATATGGCTCTGAGCAATTTGGCATATTTCTCCATGCTGCACTTTTAGCTCTCATTAAAAAGTGTTTATTTAATTTAATAGCACTTGTAGTGGGAGTACTGAACGTGTGCAAATTCTTGCAACCTCTATTAAAAGGCTTCCGCCTCAGGAACAGAAGACTGTTCTAATAAGCAAAATAGATGGTCAGACACTTTTAGAAATGGGCAAACCTGACAGTTCTGGTCTTCATGTTTTGTAGTAGTGAGACTGCAATTGGAAACAATTTCTTGAAGCTTAGGCCAGACCCTGAATCTATTGAAACGTTCAGTGGACTTGAGACCTGTAAGATATTGGTTACCAAAGCCTAAAATTAAAATGTCATGGTGTCCCAGCTTGGAACTAGCAGAAATTCAGTGCCTGAAACTGAATTTTAGATAATAATTTCCCCACAGAAACAGAAGCCTGCCTGAAAGCAGAACAATGCCAACACCTTTTTGGTTCCATCTAAATTAAGTATGAAATTTGGAAAAGCTGCTCTATTGCAGTCTTACATAAAGAACATAAGGGAACAAACCAGTAGGAAATAGAGGTTTCATTTAGTTCATCTATTACCATTTTGGAGAACAATTCATACAACAGTTATGCTCCACTGATGGCCTCACATTCTGTCTTTGGAAAAGCATCTGTTTCCATGGAGCTGTTTGCCTGCTTTTCCTTATATTTTCAGAGGGTCCTGAGCATTATAGTATGCCCTAGGAAAGTACCTTACTTCTTTTGTTCCACATGAATTCTCATTTGTCATCTCCTAATAAATCTCAAGATCTAAAATTTCATCTGTTTACTTCAGTTGTTGAAACAAAACAATCCATCATAGTCCATTC